TTTTGGTAATGAACTAAATAACTTCAGCATATTTTGTCTGAAATTTTAGCAAATGAACTAAATAACTTCAGCATGCATTAGCAAAAACCCATTAGAAAATTACATACTACAAGACAATAACTTAAGCATGTTTATTCTGAAGTTTTAGCAAATAAACTAAAAAATTTAAGCATGTTTAGTCTGAAGTTTTAGCAATGAACCAAAAATAACTTCAGCATGTTTAGACTGAAATTTCGGATAAAACTCATGACAAAACTGTAGACTGCAGGATATATAACTTCAGCATGCATTAGCACGAAGTTTTAGCCTCAATGTGAAACAACTTCATGCTACATTAGCATGAAGTTTTAGCTTCAACATAAAACAACTTCATGCAAGTGTAATTCTGAAGATGAATCTGGATAAGTTTCTAATTTTTTGATAAAGCTGCTGAGAGGAGAGGAGGAGATCTTTTTTCACGAATGAGGTTACAGATCACGCGATTAATGTGTGATACAAGTTTTATATCTTTTGTCAAGGGTGTAATTGTCATATTATTACAGATTTTTTGTCAGGTGACTACCAAATAAATAATTTTTAAAAATAAAGTACATGTTAAAAGGTGGCACAAATATAAGGTACGGCTGCAAATCACTCGCTTGAATTGATAGAATAAAAGTGTTGGATCTTTCTTTTAAAAAGCAAAAAATAAAAATAAAAAAAAAAAGGAGAGAGAGATTTTGTTTTCACTGAAAATTCTGATTGTAAGCAAGTCAAGGCAACTAGAAGTCAATTGACACATGATGTAATCAAGAAAAGAGTGAAGAATAGACAACCTTGTTTCTCTCTTCGTGTTAATTTGATTTTTTTCTCCCTTTTTTATGGCTCTTAATTTGTACATAATGGCTTAATAGTTAATACATAGTTTAATTGTCTTTGTAAATTATAGTAAAATTCCTATTGCACACTCCTTAGTTACATAAAATTTCTTAAGTGATATTGTTTGCTCCAAATCTATATAATTTTTTTTCAAAAGGCTTCATATTATTAAGAGATCACTATACCTTATATGATCAAAATGGCATGATATAGCTATTTTTACGGGTGATTATTGGAAATAGCTAGTATTTGTAAAGTTATTAAAAAGTAGCCACTATTTAAGGCAGAGATAAAATATGGACAAATGCAATGATGGATTGTGAAACTCTTGTGTATAAACTTCCTGCATATTATGTTGGAATTTTTCCGAATTTCTTGGAGTATTTTTGTTCAGAATATATTTTTACATGAAAAAGTGACTAAATTTTTATTACTTTTGAAATTATGAATAATGTTCAATTAGCAGTTGTAAGTCAGACTATTTTTTATTTTTTTCATTTATACGTAAGCTCTTAATCTTTTCAGTTACGGACTATTTTTTTCTTTTTCGAGTGTGTTTAAGAACCTTTTAAATTCATAGATTTCTTACTAATTTCACCAATGTTGGAAAAATTGGATTATGGAGAATAAAATTTAGCTTGAAGAGTGTCAAAAACACTGTTCTTAAGAATATTTCGCTCATATCGTGATTAATAAAATTAGGTGTATTCCTCAGGATTCAACAAGCTCTTTTAATATAAACTAGGAGCAACAACAACAAAGATTAACAAAAACAACCCAGCACAATATAAGAATTTTTTATTTATTTATTCACTTTCTTCCGAGATGAAGATAAAGAGGTATATATAATCTAAAAAAGAAGTACACTATATGTTCCATATTACAGGCTATTCCAAAGAAGTAGACGATCAGAAACGTCCAAGCCATAAAGGCTATTCCAAATTGCACTACGTTAAATCTTAAGCCATTAAGAATTTAAGATTGGTCCATTGACTTTTCAATACTAACGTACAAATTCATACTAATGAGCATTCAATTGTTTGATTTATTTTGTCCTAATTGAATTCAAAAATAAATTAATTTTCTGTTATACATATATTTAAAATAAAATAAAAATTTGGTAACTAAACATTTTTATTTACCAAGTAATATTTACAAAACATTTCCATTCTTTAGTTTGATCTTGGACACAAATCCCAGATTCAAATTGTACCTCTCAATATTGTGTCTTCTAACTACTATCCTAATTACATATCCATACAGATATTAGGGTAGTAATTAAGAACTAATAATCTCTTTTTCAACCTTTGCATCATGTTGCCTCGACCATGAATATCTTGAACTAGTTGTCGAACAATTGCTTCAATGCTCCTCTGTTCTCTTGGAATATCCTTGAGTTCCTCTGTTGCCATATGCAATAGACTGTACCAACTAGGGTCATTCTGTACACTTCTGCTATAGAGCTCCTTCCTTTGTAATGACTTGCAGCCATTCTAACTCTTGCCCACATTCCATCACCTGCCTCTATAGTCCTTGCCACTGCAGTAGTGTTCTCCATATTCTTGCTGAGTAAGAACATTTAAAAAACAAATGCTCAATGATTTCTTCTGCTTTGTTACATAGTATGCACATTGTATTCTCAACACAACCCCATTTGTTTAGTCTCTCTCGTGTTAGTAATCTTCTGTGAACAGCCATTAGTAGCGTAAACTTTCACTTAGGTAGTCCTGCATTGTTGCATGTAATTCTCCTCCATGAAACTTTAGTAAATTCTCCTCTAAGCTTCAAATTCATTGCCTTGGTTGAAAACTTGTCCATCTGCATAAATTCTTCTTCTGTCAGCCCAGCTTCCTCAACTTGCTTCTTTGTCTTCAGAGTCTTTTGAACTACTCATGATGCTTGCTTTGGGGTTCCGCCTGCAGTTATATATCTTTTGTATAGAGGTGCACCTATTGTATCCACATTTTATCTTCCTTTTTGCTAAGGTTCCAAAGTAACTTACATATAGATGTTTTATTCCAGATTCCTATGTCCAGTATATTCAAACCTCCAGCTACTTTTGGCCAGCATAATCTGTCCCAAGCCAACAATGCTTTTTTTGTAACTTCTACCCCTCCAGTCCATAGGAACCTCCTGAATATACTCTCTATTACTTGGATCAATTTCTTTGGCAACATGAACACTTGTGACCAAAATATACTATTGATTAGTTGAATTCTGCCTACATAAGATAAAGCTAAGAATTCACTTCGAATGAAGAAATTCAGAATAGTAAGAATCTGACAGTCTATGATTGAATTCTTCCCAACATCTTTTCTATCAATGTTTGACACTGTACCACTGATAATCTTTTAGTACATAGAGGAACCCCCATGTACCTCACAGGCATTGATCGTTTATAAAAACCTAGGATCTGTAAGATCTCCTGTTCTGTATCCTCACTAACTCTACCAAAGAAGACTGAGCTCTGGCTAGTGTTTGCAAATAGGCCAGAAGCTTTAGAGAATTCTTGAAAGCATTGATAGAGTAGTTGTACAGATATAGTGTCCCGCTGCAGAAAAGCAACAGATCATCAGCAAAACTGAGTTGTACTATATTCATTTTAGCACACTTAGGATGGTAATTGAAATTTGGATTCATCTTCAATGTCTTCAGTGTTCTTGTCAAGTGCTCCATAGCCAATACAAATAGATATGGAGACAATGGGTCTCCCTGCCTCAGTCCCTTCCTTGCATGAAATGGTAGTGTATGTTGCCCGTTGATAATGATAGAGTAAGATACAATCTTCACACATTTCATGATCCAGTTGACAAATCTCCCAGGCATTTGTAAATTTTCCAGAACTTGTTCCATATAATCCCAGTCAATAGAGTCATAAGCCTTTTTCATATCAATCTTCAGCATGCATCTTGGTGACACACCTTTCCTGCCATACCCTTTAATTAATTCATGACTGAGTATGTTATTATCATTTATCAGCCTCCCTGGCACAAAGGCAGACTGGTTTCTATCTACTATATCATCCATTATCCCCTGCAGTTTGTTTGTGATCACCTTTGAGATTATTTTATATAGTATAGTACAACATGAAATTGGCCTATACTCATTAATACTGGTATGATCCTTCACCTTTGGTACAAGAGTCACTGTTGTACAGTTAATAGGTTGATAGAGCTCAGAGTTTGTGAAGAAATCCATTACTGCCTCTGTCACTTCCTCACCAATCACATGCCAAGCCTTCTTATAGAATAAAGCATTGAACCCATCGCAGCCAGGTGTTTTGTTGTCTCCAATTCCTAGCAGTGCATCGTATACTTCCTCTTTAGATACATCTTTCACCAATTGAAGTTGTTGTCTATTCACCAGGGCTCCATCTCTCATCACTACTGGATTTATAGCTGGCACAATTCCATATGATGATCCCAGTAGTTGTTTATAAAACCCAAGTACTTCCTCTTCAATCTCTTGTTTGGATTGTAGTACAACTCTATTAGCCTTTGTTAGGCTCTTTATTTTATTCTGCCAGCATCTATTCTTCATACTTGCATGAAAATAATTACTATAATTAAGACTCGTTAATATAATAGTAAGAAAATAAATTTAGACATAATTTTGGATTTTATTTTATTTTATTTTTGAGATATCAAAATTATTTTCCTATCAACCAATGTTGTGTAGCATAGTCATTTCTATTTTGCTTGTACAATTCTTTCTGCAGGCTCTTGTGCCTTACATAAAGTTTTCACACCATGGATTCCCCTCCGATTAAGCCACCACGCCCACCATAACCCCCGGATAAACATAGCCAAATGGAGGTAGAACTGCCTCATCACTCCTATAAGGAAATGCTATTGGACAAACCAGCGAGCAACCAAACAAACTACTATGAAATAGATCACCAACCAATTACGGATCTGGACAAAGGGAAGCACATTGAGGGTTCAATTCCACTCTCACAAGATGACAAAGAGCATCTTTACCTCCTATGGTGCTACTTGGTGATTATCAAAGTGTTCAAGGGAAAGATGCCTCACCACCTCCTTCGATCTAAGCTAAATGACCTATGGAAGCCATCCGAAGAGTTAATCTTGATTGACCTAGGGTAGGACTTCTACATAGTAAAATTTAGTTTAGAAGAATGCATGGTTAAGGCTCTACACCTAGGACTTTGGTTCATTTCTGGAAACTTCCTATCCGTACGTAAATGGGAACCAAAGTTTGTTCCCCAAGAAGCCACTCTTACTTCTACTACCATTTGGATCTGGTTACCTCAATTACCAACAGAGTTCTATGACCAGGATATCTTGGAGAAAGTTGGGAGGAAGCTGGGCAAACTTCTCAAGATAGACCAATGTACATCCTCTACCCTAAGGGGAAGATATGCCCGTATTTGTATCCAAGTTCCTCTGGAAACCCCAGTAGAAACATCAATAATAATAGGAGACCATAAGCAGGTTGTGATCTATGAAGGAGAGGGGACTCTATGCACCATTTGTGGCAGAATAGGACACACTGCACATATTTGCAACTATAGGGCACCAACACCCACAGCAACCCACGAACCACAGGATGATCATCAAAGAAAAGCAGTCATTTCAGAGAAAAGTGAATGGAAAACTGTCACCTTCCCAAGAAGACGTAAGCAGGGACAACTAAAAACAATAAACACAAATGAAGGTAAAATGAACAAACCACAACATGCTTCACGGACGGAGGAGATACAGGTAAATATGTTCAATGCCAATTCAGGTAAATTTCTCCAAACTCAAACTCTTTATTATAATTAAAAAAAATATTCACCGCCGAAAAAACCCAAAAGAGGCCAAATGGCCCAAACAAAACCCCCACTAGCACACAAGATCTGCCCAAACACGATCACAAATCAGGCCCAAGGACGCAGCCCAAAGCGGGGCCAACAACTGACGACCCCATTAACCCCAATCATGAGCCTAGCTTTCAAGGGGCCTCTAGCCCATCTCCCAAGACCACAATCACCACGCCTGGTGAAACACCCAATGGGGCCGACCTCTTTTTCCCAAACGGGCACTCCACTAAGGGCACCACTGACAGCCCAATTCCCCATCCAAATACCCAAACTTACGCTTTCCCTACCAAATCTCCTGAAACGACCTCTAATGGAGAAATACCAATAGTTACCAACAACTNAGAAAGTAAAAAAAATACGCGCCTAACAGTGACTAACGCGTTATTACTTTGGGGAGGGCCGTGAAATCTGCTAAACGGCCCATTCCGAATTCTATATATTCATGATATTCCTTTATTGAGGGCCTCGCAGCTTGTGCGTTTTATTTGGCGAGGCTCGTCTCCTTTTTTATTTTAAAAAAAAAGTAAGCTTAAAGCAACTATAATTTGCTATTTTTATTGTCTCTAAAGTAAAAAAAAAAAGGTCCTAATTAATTTGTTTTAAGAGCTACTTCCCCTTTAAGAAAGAAACTTATAATTAATCCGCATCGGGCCTCCAAGGCCTACCCGTGGGACAGCCGGCTTTCATCTCCAAATCCAAGTACAACTTTCCTAATCAGTTAACTAATTAACAATGGTTACAATTATTAGCTTAATAACATATTACCATTAATTTCCAATCTCGTGTTAACTATTAACCATTGTCTATTACTATCAGATTGAAAACGTGTACCATAACATTATTATTATAACTAGAATATATTACTTGTCTAAACTACGACGATACAAGTTTATGCATTACAAAATATTATCTAAAACTTGTCTAAACTCACTAATGGCAATATTGTTTAAAACTTACATAAATATACGCATTATAAAATATATGTAAAAAAAGAAAATTTTACGAGAATACATAGATATAAGTTTAATTCTTAACAAAATATGAATAACGGATGCACTCTTAATTAATAACCACATTTAAACCCATACTTGCTGATTTCAGCTCAATTTTATTAGTGCAGGCGAAATGCATGAATTCGAAAAACACTTTCCTGTTTCAGCTTGCAGCTTGCTTCTTATTTCAAAATTATACTACAAAACAACACTAAACCAATATGACTATTACATAATCATATTCCAAAATCCAAACAGTCCCGGAATCAAGCAGCCCAAACAACTTATAAATAGTCCTAATTATACAGTCGTCTATTATTCATGTAATATAAACAGTCCTAGTTCAAATCCATGCAGTCCATATCATGTCAACAAGCCAACTAGTTAAAAAAAAACTAAATAAGTACAACCTTTAACGAACTATAACTACAAGTATTCAAATGAATTCGACTCTGGCATAAAACTACATTTTTCACTCCAAGGTTGAACTTACATCAAGGGAATTCGAATCAAATACCTGGTATTGACAATACAAGAAGAGGAAGAAGAGGATCAGCAGCAACAGTAGTAACAAACAGCAGTTGCAACAGCAGTGCAACAACAAATAACCAGCAGCTATAAATGACTCCAAGTATAGAGTAGAAGTAAAAGAAAGAAAGGTTCTAGTTATTTCAGATCCTAAGCGAGGCAATGAAAACAATTGCTATTCTTTTTCAACTCCCCAAGCTCTCCAAAAATCAATCTCCTTCTTTCAGTCCTAATCCCCCTCCCTTATATAACCATCCAGACCTGCCCTTTCTCTCAAACTTAACTGCCCGACCCCCTTCCCCACTAAAAATCTGCCGTTTTTACCACTTAAAACCCACTAAGGAAAGCTTTTCCTTATTTTCAGCCCTCATTCTCTCTTGTTCTCCATTACCTTATTAATTTAAGGACATTTAATACCCCACTAACAAGTCACTAACACTAAAATATTACCCTAACTATTCTATTCCCAAATCATCCCTGAAACCCCTTAATATTACTGCCCCTAATACAATCTAGTCATCCGTATTAAAACCTTTTAACTCTAAAATCTGTTCAAGCTAACAATGATTTAAAACTAAATCTAACAACTATAACCAATCCTCATGACAACTAAATGACTAAGGTTGAGTTCCAATTGAAACCAATGAACTGAATTTAAATCACTACACAAAACTCAACAGAATCATTAAAACTGAAACTGAAAATTGAATCAAAATGAACATGAATGCAGGATCATTGTCAGCCTATTGATAATGCCCTGAAGCTAAGTGTCCACAGATCAAGCACACACAACAACCATTTGACGAACTTATTGGTTTACAAACAAGAACGAATTAATCGACGAAAACTAATTAACCGATTGCCTATAACAATTGACATCAATCAATCAGAAATAGATAATCAGGCAATTCAAGCAGCATTGACAAGAACAGGGATTTGTAATAAAACTTAACTAATCGACGAAACTTATTTGAATTGATTACACAACCTATAATTATTCACAACAACGAGCAGAAACAAATTCGACCAAATAAAAAGGTCTGAGGGAGAAGAACAGAACAATCGACAAAAATTAAAAATTAATATAACCATACTAGACAAATAAAGTTTAAAACATCAAAATAGAATAAAAGGAAAGAAGGAAAAATACCTTAAATGGAACAGAGAACAGACGGACTTGAATCGACTCGAACTTGAACTTTTGAGGTCAAACGGACCTTAATCGAGTGTTCTCAACTGAGAACACTTCGACTAAGGTCAGTTAAACGCCCAAATCCCCTTAAACTTCGGACAGAAACCAGTTTTGGTTTTCTAGGGTTCTTACGTTTCGATTTGGGGTTCGAGTGTTTCTAGGCAGATTCGAACCAAACCAACGGTGGTTTGGTCATGAGGGAGGTCAAGGGGTGCCAGGGTGTGAGTTAAGGGTGGATTGGGGTAGGTCCAGGTTTTGTTCGAATCTTCAAATGAAGATTCGAGAAGTTTGAGGATGATTCGAAGCAAACGGGTACTGGATTTGGATTGGGGGTGGTTAGGAGGTTCAAGGGTGTTATTTTGGTGGCCGGTGGCGTCGTTGCCGTCGGGTTTTAGGCGAAGTAATGCCATGGCGGCTAGGGTTTGTGGAAGGGGCTTCGTTTCTGAGAGACGATGATGAACAGGGGTTTGGACTAGGGGGCTGGGTATGAGATTTCATTTATATAGTGGGGGGGTGGTTTGATCTTGGCCGTTCGATCAAGAGAGATCGAGGGTCTAGATCAGTTCACTTAACTTAAACGGTGTCGTTTGGTCTTAATAAGAGATCGGGTTGATTCGAGGCCATGGGTCGGGTATGGGGTTATGGGTGAGAGCGGAGTGATTTGGACCGTTGATCAAGTGAGATCAACGGCCCTAATCAGGGCTTCCCCAAAACGATGCCGTTTGGGTGTCTCCGAGATGGACTGGATTGGACTGGTAATGGGCTGGATCAGGTGTGGGTTTGGACGAGTTTGGTTTGGGCTTGGCTGCTTTTGGCCCAAGTTTGGTTCTTCTCTTTTATTGATTCTCTCTATATTTCCTTCTTATTTCTTTTATTCTTTTCATTCATTTTGATTTCTAAATTATTTTCTAAAATCATAAACCAAGTTAACTTACTAAAAATACTAAAATCTCTTAATAACACTTATCACATACAATTAAATGCCAATTAACAATAAAATCACACAATTCAACATTAAATGCTAAAAATGCAAAGTACATTATTTTTTTATGATTTTCATTTTCCTAAAACAAATCATTGGTTAATTAATCCTAAATTGTAAATGCCAATGCAACACATATATTTTTGTATTTTTCAGTGTTAAAAATAGAATAAAATATACACAGACAAATACAAATAAATCACAAGCAACACACAACTATTTTATTTTGAATTTTTGTGGGAGTAGTTCTTGTAGGGCAAAAATCACGTGCTCACACTTACCCTTCTTCCCAGATCTGATGAAAGAGGACCCAGCAGCGGAGCCGGTCTTCGTAACGATCGATCAGCCAACCCAAAACAACCCATCATCTTCTGCTCCAAAAAGGAAGAGCAACTCACCACCTCTTCAGAATATCCATAAAGGAATCTCCAAAGCTCTGGAGATACTCAAGAAGAAGAATGCTTCAGAAGAACCAGAAATGCCTTATGCCACACCAAGGATGGACTCAATTCTCTTGGACTCAGTGAGATCGATAGAGTTCATAACGGAAATAAGTGAGATAGTAGTGGTGTTGTGCCCCAAAATAATGACCAAGTGTGGAATGAGCCTAGTCTCAGGCCAAACACACGGTTCGTTGAAACCCCTTCTAAACCTTAACTCCAATCCTGAGTCTAAAGAGGAAGTCGCCCCCACTCCAAATGCGGGGTGTGCAAGGTCCAAAGAGCCCTCGTGAGGGAACTCACCAATCACCCACAGCTCAAATGATGAACTACATCATATGGAATGTTAGGGATGGGAACAATGCCGAGTTCAAATGGCACTGTTTAGAAATGGTGAAAATGTACAAGCCTGCCATGCTTGTATTGTTTGAAACGAAGATGGCAGACCATCAGTCCTTAGCCCAGCAACTCTAGTTCAATATGATCATCCAATCTCCAGCAGTAGGCCTATCTAGGGGTATCGTGTTTATGTGGAAAGAAGAGTTCGTGACTGTTGAAGAGGTAGCATCTACCCCCCAAGGTATCCATGCAATGGTGAAGGTAAGTCCAGACCACCCTCCATGGCTCTTTTCTGCTATTTATGCTAGCAATCTCTTAGTAAATAGGAAACTCCTATGGGAGCAACTAATTACAATATCAAATAGCATAAAAACAAATTGGTTTATAGGAGGAGACTTCAATGAAGTCTTAAAGGCCAGGGACAAATTTGGGGGTAACCTTATAAACCTAAGCCGCAACAACCTGTTTTGGAATTGTATAAATAAGTGTAACCTAATAAACCTAGGCTATAAAGGAAGCAAATACACTTGGACAAATAAAAGGTACAGTAACAAAACCTCTATAATTCTGGAAAGAATAGATAGGTGCTTCGCTAATAAAGGTTGGATTGAACAGCACTCTGAAGCTACTGTACATCACCTCCTTAGGACCCACTCATACCACTGCCCTTTGCAAATTAACCTGGTAGGGCCTCCAAACAATAAATCATCAAGGCCTTTCAGGTTTGAATCAATGTGGGCTAGCCACCCTTCCTTCCCCAACAACATCAATAGGGCCTTCTCTAACCACTCCACCCTTCTTCAATCTACTGAAAGTTTCAAGACTCTGGTAACCAAGTGGAACCAGGAGGTCTTTAGAAACATCTTCCATCAAAAGAAGAGACTCTTGGCTAGAATATCTGGAATCCAAAAATCTCCTAGCTACCAATTCAATAGTTACCTGTTAAACCTTGAAACTGAGCTAAATGTTGAACTCAACCTAATCCTCAAAAGTGAAGAAGACTTTTGGAAACTTAAGTCTAGGATCAACTGGCTAAATGAGGGTGATGCTAGCACTAGATTCTTTCACACATCCACCCTCAATAGAAGAAGGAGGAACATAATCCTCTCTCTTAAAGAAGAGAATGAAAATTGGATTCATAACCAAAACGACATCCATACAGCTATTGTGGGCTTCTTTACTGATCTATACACAACTTCTCACACTGAAGCCCCTTGGGAAACCACTAATCACTCCACCATGGAACCCATCATGTCCCAAAGTCAAAAAGCTTTTATGGACAGACCCATTCAAGTGAGTGAGATTAAAAAGACAGTTTTTTCCAATAAACCTTTCAAATCTCCTGGCCTAAATGGCCTTCACCCCTTCTTCTACTAAAAGTATTGGGATATAATAGGGGACTCTGTCACAAACTTCTGCCAAAAATGCTTCTCCACAAGATCCATGGATAGCACCATGAACCAAACCCTTCTGTGTCTAATCCCTAAATGCCCCCAAGCTTCAATGCTAAAAAATTTCAGACCCATTGGCCTCTGTAACACCATCTACAAGTCAATCACAAAAATCATTGTGAATAGGATAAAGCCTATCCTCCCCCACATCATTGGGCCAAGCCAAGCAAGCTTCCTATCCAATAGGAGGGCATGTGACAATGCTATCATTGTCCAAGAGTATATCACTCACTTCGGGAAAATAAAGGGGAAGAGTGGTAACATGATCCTAAAATAGACCTAGAGAAGGCCTTTGATAGGCTGGAATGGTCTTTTATTAGAGACACTATGGATGCCTTCAACTTCCCCCAAGGCTTATCCAAACTCATCATGTCATGCATCAGTACATCCTCCATTTCCATTCTTGTCAATGGGGGAAAAATAGAGTCTTTCAAACCCTCAAGAGGCATCAGGCAGGGTGACCCTATGTCTCCCTACCTATTCATCATGTGCATGGAAAGACTTTCTAGATCCATTGATAAGGCAGTACTACATAACCAATGGCATCCCATAAGTATAAATAGGTATGTATCAAAAATATCACACCTATTCTTTACGGATGACCTCACCCTCTTTGTCAAAGCCAATGATAGGAACTGCAATACCATTCTTTCAATATTGCAGAACTTCAATGAACAATCAGGACAAAAAATAAATCTCACCAAATCAAGAGTCCCGTTTTCTTCCAACACCACTCAAGATACCCTTCAACACCTCACCAATCATTTGTCCATCAGGCACACAATATCCTTTGAAAAATAACTGGGATTCCCCATTCTCCATAAAAAACAATCAGCGGCAGACTTCCAATTCATCATTGACAACATGCAATCTAAGTTGGCTGGTTGGAAAACCAAATACCTTAACATGGCTGGAAGAACAGTACTGGCCAAGACCTCTTTGAACAACATCCTAAGTCATGTTATGCAATACATAAGTCTACCCATCAGAGTCACCAATCAGATTGATATAATTCAGAGAAATTTCCTTTAGGGCACCACCCCTGAAAGGAAAAAGTTGTATCTGATTAAGTGGGAGATAGTCACTAAGACCAAGGCTGAGGGAGGGCTAGGGCTCCAAAAGGCTAGTATCAAGAACAAAGCTTCTCTCACAAACCTAGCATGGAGAGCTTATAAGAATACCAATAGTCTATGGGCTAGAGTGCTCATTCACAAACATTACAACATGTCTAGACCAGTTAATGTATTTAGACACACTAGCACCCAAAATCCCCAACCTGGAAGAGCATTCTAAAGGGCTGGGAGATATGCAACAAAGCAAGTAGATGGGTAGTCAATAAAGGAAATAAGATCAGTTTCTTGAATGACACTTGGATCCCTAATCAGCCTGCAATCAGGCATATCATAGAAGGGCATTTAACACAAAATGGCCTTCAAGCCAAGGTTAACTCAATTCACAACATGGGCAATTGGGATACCTCAGCCTTGTCCATTAACATCCCCTCAAGTATTCTGAACTCTGTATTCATCCCAAATGCTACAACCAAGGATGATAATCTTATATGGGATTTGACTCCTAATGGCCAGTTCTCAAATAGCTCTGCTTACTCCTTCCTAAGCAGGACTACAACCAGCCTCCCTTCTGAGGAAGAAGCACCCTTCAAATGGATATGGAAGCTTCAAGCACCCAACAAAATTAAATACTTCATCTGGCTCCTAATCCATAAAAGACTCCCAACTAGGAGCTTCCTCCACTCTATTAGAATCAATTGTGTCCCTCAATGTCACTACTATAATAATGACCGGGAAGACATTATCCACATTTTCTTTGAATGTCCCAATGTTGTCCATTTCTGGAATGATATCCTATCCAATTTTATAGGGAATAGTTCAAATCACCCAGTCTTCAATAGCCACCTGTGGCAATCAACATGAAACTCTCTCAAAACTGCCCCTTACAACAACTGCATCTGTTGGGACAACCTCATTCCCTTTTGTCTTTGGCACATCTGGCTAACTAGAAACAACAATGTTTTCAACAACAAGAAAGAACACATTAATTCCAATAACACAATCTCAAAAGCAACAGAGTACATTATGGTTACAAAGAATGACTCAACAAAGGTAACCCACCAGATCATGCTAAAGTGGGAACCCCCACCCAAAGGCTCCTACAAACTGAATACAGATGGAGCAGCAAAAGGAAACCCAGGAATAGGAGGTTCAGGGGGAATATTCAGAAACCACAATGGAGACTGGATATTGGATTACATGGCCAATATACCCCAAGCAACAAATACAAGGCCAGAAGTTCAGGCCCTCATTAGGGGTCTACAACTAGCGGAGCAAAACAATCTAGTTCCACCGGAAATAAACACTGATTCCGCGGAAACAATTAATATGCTCTTAAATGGAAATCTGATTTTTTACCCTCTAATTTGTGAATGCAGATCAATTATCCAAAGGATGGGCAGCGTGTTAGTGAGGCATATCTACCGGGAGCAGAACAGAGTAGCTGATGCGTTGGCCAAGAAAGCAACAAAAAGAGATGTTTTTGAACAAATCTTGGACATTATCAGTTCCTCTGATGTTTGCCAATAATGTATTTTGGGCAGACATCCTAGGAACTGATCTAGTCAGGTCTTTTATGGGTTGTAACTTAAATACAATTATGCAAAATATTACAACTATGGGGTCTTTGAGATACCCCAGTAATGTCCCAAATGTAATTCCTTTGTTTAACTAGTATAACTATAATATCCCTTTTACCAAAAAAAAATGCTGTGTATTGTGAGCAGCTTATTTTTGACCATGTTTGAATTTATTCCTACTTTTCTCTATTCACTACCCACTTTCCCCACTTTCTCCACTCACTACCCACTTTCCCCATTTTCCCCACTCATGTTCCCCACTCTCCCCACTTTCCCCACTCATGTTCCCCACTCTCCCCAAAAAATATTTCCTCCACCCACTCTTCATCATTCTCTCTACCTACAACACACACATCAAGACCTCACCTTAAAAAAATTTATATATAGAAAAGAGCTCTCTTCTTCTTCTTGGATTTTTTCTCCAAGCAACAGACAAATACAANAAGCAGAAATACCAGCTTCATTCTCTCCATTAAAAACACAGTTGAAAGCCGCCCCAACGGACCCCTATTTTGCACCAAAAACAAGCTCGAATCCACCCTAGAAATGACCTCAAAACAGCTCCAAAAACGAGTTGAAAAACTGTCCAAAAACCAGCATTAAACTACAACCAAATCAGCCCCAAAAATGCCCCAAAATCCAGCTCCAAACTGACCCAAAACAACCACTAAATTTGCTCAAAATAACTTCAAAACAAGCTAAAAATACTCCTCAAAATAGTTTCAAAACAACCTGAAAAACCGGCCCAAACCCAGCTGAAATTCTGCCACCAAACAACCATGAAACGAGCTGGAGTTCACACCAAAATCCAGCTCCAAAACTTCAGCACAACAGCTTCGAAAACCAGTCCAAAAATCCATAAAAACCAGCAAATCGTCCTCACAATGTTCGTGCTATGGGTCCGTGAAAGGGTCGAGTCCGTCGAGGTCGGCGTGGAAGTTCTCTGGTCGATGGTTCCTGTTGTTTGAGTTCATTTGCTGCTCATTTTTGGTCGTTGTCTCTGTTCTGTTGAGTTTCAAATTCTCAACCTCAAA